TGTGAGAAAGAGAAGACAAAAGATTAAAGACAACCTCTTCTTTTTTCACTTCCTTCTCAGATTTATCTTTAGGCCTCAAAGGCTTATCGTCGTCATCATCAGAGTCATCACTGTCACTGATATATTCCTTAGATTTTGCCTTTAGGGGAGATCTGAAGCAATAAAAGTGGAACTCCTAATTTCTCCTCCTAAAGGCAAGGACTGTACTGAAACTAACGGCCCAGATGATTTCTTCGCAGCGCTTGATTCAGCTGTCGTAGAAGTTGCTTTTGCACCACCGCTCTTCTTATACTCCTTCATTTCGGTTTCATAACGATTCCTGTCAGCAGCTGCCTTTTTCTCCCATGGCTAAATTGACATATTCTTAATGCTTGAGGGAAGAGAAACATTCTTTCACCTCTTTCGCTTCAGCGTCCATATTCTTCCACATCTCTCCAGCACGTTTAGCTACATCAGCCACAGTATCGCCTTCCTGGATGATACTGGAAATCGTCTCCAGATAATTCATTCATGAGACAAACCTTTTTGATCTTTGTTCTATTTTCGTTAAGCCAATGGAAGTAGGCAGACTGAGCCCTCTTCGGTGCATTTGGATCTTTCTCACGCTTTCCCTTCTTACCCTCCTTCCTTTCCTTGCGTTCCTTCTTCTCTTTCGGCTCCTTCTCCTTCTGAAGATGGATAACAAATTAACAAGAATGTTATATTTGGATGAGTAACGAAGATCCACAAGCAAAATCAAGTGAAACAAGGAAATGACCTTCTTCTTCTTTTTGGGTGCTTCCTCGGCATCTGAGCCACCACCGGTGGCACTCTCGCTAGATCCAGCATCAGAGTCAAACTCTTCCTCAGGCTCTGAACCGCTTCCCTCGCTAGAGTCGCGGTCTTCCTTCCGTTTCTTGATATCTTCGTCAAGGTCATAATCGTCGTCTTCAGAATCTGAGTCATCATCACTTTCTGCGCCTGTGCGCTCCTTTCCTTCTGCTTTGACCGTTTCCTTGTACGGATCGATTTCATCATCAGAGCCAGCAAAACGATCTTCCGCATAGTTCTTATCCTGAAATTGAAAAAAGTGTTTTGTTAATGTTAGTAAGATAGGTATTATAGTTCATACCATCTTCTTAGCATTACGGATGCGCAGATGCTTATTTTGAACATAATCGTAA